GTGTGTAATATAGCTTTGTGTGTAAAGTTCCATAGTCGTGAAATCATCATGTATTCGAAATCTCATGTGTGAAATTCAATGATCACTATTGTGATTGATGCACAACAGGTCTTACTTAATTAATGTAATCAACATTTCGATTTGCTTGCGCATTTTAGCCTGAGAAAATCATGTGTCGACTATGTGTGAAAGTTGTACATCATACTCTGTGAAAATGTATTTATAGATAGTAATTAATCACCGGCGTCCGCGATCGACGCTACAACGTTAAGAGATATTTCATAAATCGCGAGAATGGTTTTTTAATGTATATATTTATTATCGTGATTATGTTTGTTACGTACGTGTAGCTTCAGTGAAATTAGGTTTTTCTAAACTTTTGTACAGAATTGTGTACATATAATAACGATCATGGGATGTACGAGAGGGAAATAAACCTTATTTCGTATATATCCAATGGTTTCATTTGCATAAATAGCAAACATTACGAGTCATGGACTGATTTAGAACTAATACCTCTCTTTCGATCGATGATCGATATACAGTTGAGTCTCCATGGAAAAAAGCATATTTCTCGTTTTAGAAAATGCGGAACGTAATATAAGTTACTTCGAATACGAACTACCAATATTACACGTGGAGTATAGTGGTGCCTTATTACAATTCTTTCGATGTAATCTCGATGTGGTTACAATAATACAATGATAGTATTAAGAAGTCCAATTGTAATCGACATGAACCAGTTGAAACGATTCAAGCCATCGATGAGAAAAGAAACCAAAGTACATCGTTTTGTAAATACACGTGTTACACGCGCATCATGTAACCATATTCGCGAAACCATTCTGTACAAATGTTTAGAGAAAGTGTGAATTAGTCGTGATACGATTAAGCTTGGAACACCGGTATACTTGCGCGTATATCAGAAGTGTGAGAGTTTTAAATAAAAATGAGAAGAAACAAAGAATGTACATCGCTCTGTAAATAAATTATTTTATTTTAATGCTTTAATGTTTGTATTGTTGCATATCACGAGTTATAATGACCGATAAATATCAATGCTTCTCTTCTACAAAAGAGATAGAACAAGGGGTGTTTCGTATCATGATTTCTCTTTTATTTAAACCATTTATACAACAAATATTTCGTACAAACCTCTTTCACTTCATATCCCGTACAATTCAACACGATTTTAATATTGTAACTCGCGATCGAACATAATGTTTCTTTCATCCCTTGTTCTCTACAGAACCTCACGTTTAGTACCAAATTTGCAACATGATCACTATCGTTATGACAATGACACTTCCCATAGCTTACAAAAATATAACAGCAATTTGTTGTACATTTAATTTTTATTGCTGTGCAACTTATAGATAAATAAGTATTAACTTAGGTGTACATACATTAAAGATTCAATGTTACCACAGATTGAATCATAATTGAAATTATTAATTAAATTCAACTGTCTTTGGTGCATATTAGGACATTGAATCTTACACATATACGTGATCCTCATCTGCTTACTCAAATGTAAGAGGAATAACAGAGTTACAGATCTGAAGGGATATAAATTTACATAGTACATAATTTCTTCTGTACATAATATATATAATATGTCTTAATCTTTTTACTAAATCTATTGAGAAATAACGTGAATGCAGATTAAATATTTCTTGTTGCACAGCATTATTCAAATGGCTAATATATAATTTTTATTACAAAAGTTCATTTTCATGTGATAATGTATTGAAAATCAAAATTTCCAGAAATTTTCCAAGGCCTTTGTAATTGTAAATAAAATTCCATTAACCGCGTTATTAAAATAAAGATTAGCTGTGTAAAAGTGCACATAATTAAACCTTCGAATCATAAACATCAAAATATCGAATTTTTACAATAACATTTTCTTTTATTCTATTTTTCCAATTTGATAGAAATATTTTTTAATGTAGAAATAATAACGAATTAAATTTATAAGAGGAAAAAAATGTTCTTCATTGTTAGGCCATAAGAATTAAACATTTTTTAAAGTTTATTCTGCGAATTTATTTCATTATTATGAGCAAATATTCACTTTATAAATTTAAAATTTGATAATTCCACAAAAACAAAAATATAAAAATAGACTTAAATACTGAATATTATGGGAATAATAAAACTACAAGTAAAGCAAAATTTGTAATTTTTATATTAAATTTTGTCGTTCCATAAAAATTTTTACTATCTTTTGTGAAATATTTGAAAATTTTTGAATGAATTGTTGCATTGAAATGTAATGAATAAAAATTTTAGCAGTTGCTATATAATATAAAATCATTACCGTATTATCTTTACAGATCAACAATATGGAATGTTAAGAACTAAGCTAAATATTTCATTATGTGCACACTATTAACACAATTTATCAAATCTATTTGAAATGAATAAACAGTGACTTTATCAATTATTAATATATTCATATTTCGTTTATATATCACGTAATTAATCATTATATATATCACAATAAACCTGCTTTATTATAACTGGAATACTTCTCGAAAACATATTCTATAAAGATAATGAGAATTATCTAGTCTAATTTAAAATAATATTTTAAACTTAAAATAAATCACAAAATTCATTGGTGTGCTTTTTTTTAATTACAAGTATTGTACACTATTTTCATGGCTAAAGTTGTAGCCACTAATTGTAGTACAATAAGATAAGCATTAAAATAATGTTATATAAATAATGTATGACCATAAAAAAAGAAAACTGATTCCTTAATTATTCTCCAAAAATAACGTGCATGACTAGTTTCATAAAACAATTAATAATATATATAGGAATATTTATATATGGATAATTTCAAACAGAAACAAAAAACTATCACACTAAAAATATTATATACGAAAAAATCTCAATATTGCATTTTTAAAATGCTATATTTTTAAATAAAAAGTTATTTGCAAATAACATTCCTAATCACAGACGCATCAGAAATGCGAGATCATTGGACTCTCATAATCTCATATTAAAGAATCTGCTGACTCTTCTTTCCACTAAGTGGATAATATGTGCTACATGGCAATAGTAGCACCTAATTTAAAGTTCATTACATATTTATATTTGAAATTTATAAATCCCTAATTACTATTACAGTTTGCCCTGTACTGTGTCTATTTACTGTTATCACACGATAGTGCGAAAAAATAACTACAAACGTGTTTATTCAGGAAAAGGACCTCCAATTTTTACAGTGACTATACAATTCACATATAATAAACACAAAATGATTTGTGTTAATTCGATTATTGACATGTAAACTTATCTAACTGTCTAAATCATGTACTCACTGATTTGCAGCGGAAATCATGTCCACCAGAATTACGAAATATCGATTTAATTTACGTGAGTATGTCCATTGCCTGAGGTATTTGCATCTTCGTGTAATCTCTCGTTATCTTCCACTCTGTTGTTTCTTGCAAGTGCACAGTCGAGCGTCGGTTTCACTCTAGTTGGCGGAAATTTCGTTAATAGAAAATTCGATACATAGCAGAATAGTTTGCTTAACAATGGACATAATATTCCTTGATGAATAAATGTCCATACTCGATAATATTGACCTTCAAAAGGATCAAGAATAGCTGCACATAGCATGTGACTTAGATTTACTTGTACTGGCTAAAAAACGGAATGTTAAAACAGAGTAGATCGAAATATAAGACACGTGTAAATAAGAACATGAAATAATACACACCAAGGCAATGACTTGAATAACCCAGAAATGATAAGCTAAATTTATCCCATAGCTGAAAACAGACCAACTTATGTCTGATAAACGTTCCACGTTATATACACCTGAACATAAGAATTACAATAGTATTTATAATTCTGTCTTATGATTTTGAAATTAATCACAGAAAATTGATTATAACTACCTCCGATTCTCAGTAAGTAATATGGTATCACTACCATCAAACCATGCTGAATATAATACATTGCTTTATCAGCAAATATCTGAAACAATTATATTAATGTAAATTTGAAATATACAATAGATATTTATATATTTCTCAGTAGAATATGATGATTTACTCTGCGAGATTCTGTCTCAGGAAATAAGTAAGCTAAAAGTGGTCCATTCATAAAATTCAAATGTATCCTGAAGATTGCTGTGACTGTAGGACTAGGATCTGCTGCCAGTAAATATAACTATATTACAAAAAAGGCAATAATTATAAATAAGCATAAATAAAATGCATATACTTCTCATTTGAACAATTATATTAATTACTTGTACAGCTGTTGTCACATGACAAGGATTTAGTATATATATAACTGTCCTGCTGGTAAACTTGAAACCAATTTCCATTCCTAATACTAATGACATAATAATTAATAATACTCTTTTACCAACACGATCATGATTTACATATGACACTTTGGTTGGCAATTTAATGTGTCTGTAGCCCCAGACTAGAAAGATTACTATGAATATGGATATGAATAATGTTTCAATGATTCTTCGCTTTGGGCTCAGGTAATTTGCACACTCTGGTCCCACATTACGTGGTATCGAGGCATTAACACCATCGTATGCCCATTCAAACATTGCTATGAACTCTTTTTATACAACTGAAATGAAAAAAGGTAGAATTAATAATTTGGCTGGAAACTGGATCACGTTTGAAGCTGCATTATCCGCAATGACGAATTTCAATTTATAACACTCAAAATTTTTCAACTATCAGCCAGAACATTTTACAGGAAATGTGAACCGTATTTTAACGTAATTAAACGATTTGCTGGACATATGGAATCATTAGTAAGTGATGATATCCACTGTTTGAATATCACATTGAAAAATGTAATTATCGATTCACCGAAACGAAAAAGATTCTTTAAATAGAAGAATCATACAATTAAACGTACGTATCTTGTCCTACGTCGTACTAAACGTGGAAATACTGCAGAACACTTTAAACTGATATGTACGTGCAATAAGCCGCATTAAATATAAACAAGCATCACACTTTATATCGTGTATTTGCTATTGACGAACACTATCAAAGACTCGTAAAGTCTCTGTTATCATTTTCCAGTAATTTTTAACGTTACCGATTCAGCAGAAAATAAGATTACAACATAATCACAGAATGATATAGTCGCGTCACAAACGAATATGAATAGACATTGCACGTCCTTACGGACTTTCGTGACTCGTGACCTGAAATACCGACATACTAAAAAAATCAATGGTTTTTTAGCGCACTCTACGTTTAGACGGTGAGTTGGGAAACTAGTGAATGAACCAGCAATACGATCTTTGAGACCCATTACAGAGTTGT